AATAAGCGATGGGGCATTCATTTTTCATCCAGGTGGCTAACGGGTTCGGTACAAATTCTGTGTTTGCTGGTCCATTTTCGTTTTTTTCTTTTTTCTTTTTCTTTTCCATCCACTCAGCTTCACCAGCCGTTTGATGTTGGACCAGGATATTTACCTGTCCCAGCAAATTGTGTCTCAGCATATCCTGGCAAGACCTTGGATGTTTTGGAACTTGATTTTTGGTCTACTAGACGATGGGAAAGTTATGTACATTTTACTATCGTGTCTTGCTAATTCCTTGCCAGATTTTTGTTTTGTTTTAACTCCAACATTTTTATCGCGCTATCGTTCCCCTGCAGTTGCTGGTCGTTTGGGCGATGCATTCCGGCCGACTGGCCTGCTACAGGCCATCGCGGCCCCTCGGCTTCGTTCGCTATGTCGGCCGACCATTGTTCTAGTTTCACCATCAGGCTATTAGTCGGTGCTTGGGGCCTGGTCATTTATTGCCTTATCGTTGCACTAATCATGGTCATCTTTATTATTCAACTTTGAGGAAGCTGGCTACCATTTGTTGTTCAATGTCTGGACACTTGTTACGATGATCAATGCGCTGATCGTTGCGCTTTCATTTGCCAACTCTGCTGACTCCGAGGGATCAGAATACCATCCGTTGCCTGGGGATTGGGCACTTTTTACGATGATCATGACATATCGTTGCGCTTTTATTGTTCAACTTTGCTGGATCAAGCTACCATTCGTTGCTTTGGGCTTGTGCACTTGTTGCACTAATCGTTGCAATAATCGTTGCGCTACTAGTTGGCATCTTCAGTTTTCAATTCTGCTGGGTCAGGCTATTATTCGTTGCTTTGGGCCTGGGTAATTGTTGCGCTCATCGTTGACATCGCTAACTTGCGGATGCTTATTGACTCGTGGACCAAAGCGTCGAAGGTGACGGAGAATTGAGTTGGAGTCTATCTCCATCACGTGTAAAAATTTGTCCGGCTGAGATGGGCATTCTCTCGCCGCATGTACAATTCGCTATGCTATTTG